TACTGTGAAATCAGATTAAAATCAATAAAAGAAGGTGAGTAAAAAGACAAAGAGATGGATTTGACTATGAGTATTTTAGAATAAGAAAGAAGTTAGAGTACTATCTAGGAAGTTCATCAGTTAAATATAATAGTTCTATTATGCAGCCTAACTGTAGAAAATCTGTTATTGACCTGCCCTCTCCAGATGACACTAGTTGGACTTTACTTCACAACATTCTTGGCAAAAATAAAGAGCAAGATGGAGTCCCAAGGATATTCATGATTGTCTTTGCTCTGAAAGGTGTAAGTTTCTGGTTTTATCAGGTGCATGGAGGAAAGTAATTTTTTTTCTTTTGTTTGTCAGTGGCTAAAATAGAAACAAAACAAAGAAAATGAAAATATAATGATTTCATGAAATGCACTTATCTTTTATGATTTAATATGAGTTGAATTTCCATAATGGATGAGGTATTACTTAGAGAAACTCTATTCAAGAAATTGCAATATACCTGAGGTCCAAGTATTTGATAAAAGTCAAATGAAAACCAAATCAAGTTCTAATGAAAATATTGAATTATCATACATGCCAATGTAATGGATGAGGGTATATTCATCGAGTTTAAATAGGTTAGGACTAATAGATCCTCCAAAGCATCTTGAGAAGAGAGTTGCTAAGCTAATACCATTACTATGACAGTGGTCAACATTTGATGTGAGCACAAAGATTAACTTAAGGTATCTAAATCTATGTATTAATAACTTTTATATTCACTGTGATGAATTCATGGCTATACACCACTTACTTTAATTTGACTTGTGACTAGGTATAAATGTCACCACTATGACATTTTAAAATAATTGCCATAAAGCGATTAGAGAATTAATGAAGATATACAGAAAGACATATGATAGAGACAAATCCTGTACAGACTGAGCATCTCTAAGGTGTGGATTTGGAGAGATGGCTCAATGGTTAATAGTACTTCCCTATCTTCCAGAACAACAGGTTTGGCTCACAGATACTCTGCTAATTTAAACAATATACACCTACCTGTAAGTCTAATTTCAGGAGATCTGGTCTTCTGGCATACATGGGTGTTGTAATCGAAGAAAAGCAGCGTGAAAGAGAAAGATGCCATGAGACAGTGTACAAGCAGATGGGTTTTTTGCTTGTTTTTGATTAGGGAAAGGGATCATAAAAAGGGCAAAGGGGAGGATGGGAGACCAGCCTCTGAGGACAGAAACAGCAGGAGAGTGGAAAGGGGGAAGAGAGAGAAATGACAGTGAAGGGGTAATAGACAGACAGAGAGAGGGAGAGGAAGATGATATGAAGCAGGCATGGCTCTTTTAAAATGAAACATAGTGAATATGCACAGGATGTACTTTAGGTGGCTGCATCCACTGAATTCTCTTTTTTTTAACCCATAAATTTAAATTTGTGCTACCCAAATATTTTTGGATGGGTGGCCCACTTGCTAAGAGTGCTATTTAAAAAAAACATGACTTTGTCTCTTGAAGAATCTGTCGATTGTCAATTGTTGCACAGCTAGGTGGTACAATTTTGGGTGCATGCTAGACTTTGATCTGTCTTACATTTGCAAGTGACAGGCCATGTCTTACAGCTACTGTGAGTTCATACGTGTGTTCAGAAGACAAAATTTCCTTGTAGTCACTGACCATTTCTTATTGCTGCCCATTCTTTTACAAAGATTCATGAGCATTAAGAGTAGGAGATGTGATTACTGTGTTCCATGTGTGGTTGAACATTCCATAGTCCTTTATTCTCAATACCTTGGCATATCTGTTGACCTTTATGTTAATAAGTCTTCTGGAAATAGTAGCCGGTTTGATACTACTATGTCCACTTGCATTTTACTCTAAGCTCATGGCCTTCCTAGAAACAAATTCTTGGTTGGGCAGTTGTATCAGGTATGAGTTTCATCTTCTGGAGCAGGACTTAATACAGCCAGAAAGTGGTTGGTTACACAAGGGATGGTCATGCCACTATTTCGCCAAGGGAATTTTTGACAGCTCTGTCATTGTTTTAGCTTCCAGGCCTCACAACTGGGTAAGACTAGAGATGATCTTTCTCTTCTGCTGGTTTTGCATAGCACCTTCAATTAATATAAAAGCTAGCCAGAAAGGCAGATGTTTCCAGGTAAGCACCAGCTTGATATCTCCATATTCTGTGATCTAGATATGTAGTATTTTCAGCAATAGGGTCTTACATTTAAGGTTTGGAGGATAACCAAGATTATTGACAATAACCTGTAAGGTCTTAGGGTCTATGGGACTTCATTGGCCAACAACGCCAAGAGAGATGCCCCATTCCTGGCACTGGGGTTGTTTGTTTGCCTGCATTTCTTATTTTGAGGCTCTTCTAGATGCTATATTTTGCTTCATTTTGTCTGTTTGAGAGCATAGTGAGATTGATGTACTTGCTGTGAATCATTTGCTGACATCTCATCCTTTACTATTAACTCACTAGATAAAACTCAGTAGAACATATCCACTACTTGATTTTGTCTCCATATGTTGAAATTGATCTGTTTCTGGCAAGTTATATGGAGTCATCAGTGTTATGGATCAACTACATTAACTCCCAATATAGCGAAGAGGACAATATGTCATCATCTTCATATCTCTCAGGGCATCATGATTTTGTATTTACCTTCATAAAAACAAACACATGCATATTGTCATATTGTAAGTTAAATTATTGCTTCTATTTACATTTAATTTTTCATATTTAATTACTATATTTATTTTTATGATTGCCTTATCATAGACAAGGCCTCAGAATTAATATTCTTCCAGGCTATGAGAATTTAGTTATGAATACTAAAAATAAGAGGTCGATATCAGAAACAAATGACAGTTCTATCAAGTAAACAAAGAGATAGTTCATCCTTTTTGTAGGCTTCTAAGAAGTTGAAAGTTAGTGAAGGGAAAGCCATTGCAGGAATTAGGGGAATATGTTTATGATGGGCTTTCTATCACTGAACACCGTATGCATATGTTGTATCCAGGAGTCAAAACAGGATTTAAAATTTTTTTATTGAAATATCATAAACCATGAACAGTAATGTTATTGAAAACTAGCACAAAGTGAAATGTTCAGCTTGCTAAATATTGCTCGTTCATAACAACCAGTGGGGAGGATGCTACTCACCTAGATCCCAATATAAAATTTCTCATGACTAGTAAAGAGATAAATCAGGACAACAATTTGGGTATAGATCTAAAAAGTTAATAGCCTGATGCAATAATATCATTAATGGCCATTTTCTACACTGGGTGTTTCAAAGTTCTTAGTGTCTCAGTCAAAGCTCACTTAAATTATAAAGCAACAAAAATTTCATTAAGGTCCATGTGAAAGTACAAGCTAACTATGCTACAGATAAGAGCAGGTTACTTATGTTAGAAATCCAAGAGTAATGGACTACTGTTTGGGACCTCTTTTTCTGGAATTCAAAAGGAAGAGAAGGTAGATTCCAGGGACAGTTTATGCATATCATATTTTCCTGTTTTGATTAAGAGATTTCAGTTATGTAAGTCTTTGTTCAATGTACATGTTCTTTCCAGTTACTAGTCAGATTTTAATCAGATTCGTGTCTGTGTATAGGCATGGAAGGATATGAAGGATTTTTCATTAAGTGTTCACTCAGAGACACAGTCTGCATTATTCCCATGCGTTCTGCATCAGTTCACAGCAAACAGACCCACTTCCTGTTCATCCCACTTGTGTTCTGAGCATGTTTTAATGGAAATCAAATATAGAACTGACGTTAAATAGAGCTTATAAGAAGCTACACGTTGAAGTATCTGGTTATTTTGCTTAGAAAGGTAGACACATATGTCAGAGTGAATATTTGTAAACATGTGCCTGTGCATGCATGTGTGCGTGCATGTGTGTGCGTGTATGTATGTGTGTGCGTGCATATAGCTGATTACAGGTGAGAGTAGCCACAAGTTTTTAATTTCTTTATCAGGAAAGGAGTAGTTTGTGCCAAGCAGAGTCCTCAGTGCTTAAGGTTTCCGTGCACCAATCCCTCTCAGCAGCATTATCTAGCGTTCATAAAGCTGATGATACATGCTTATTATAAGTGAATCATATATATTTACTTATTTATTATTTACATAACTCCATGCAAGTCATTACTATTATTCCTGGTTTGCAAATGAATAAATAAAGATAAAATGAGTTTAGCAATTTGCTGAAAATCTTACACTTAATAAACAGAGTTCAAAATTAAAACTCAGGCATAGTAGATTCAGAGCATTCCTTCCTACCCAATTAATGACCCCCTAAAGAATTTGACAAGCTCCTTGAAGCTCAATGCTACTAACTTCTTTAAACAAGCAGTAACATGCACTGTTGTATACTTGACTATGAATCTAATATTTTCTTATATATCAACAGGACTTGGAATCATCAAACTATGTCAATTAAAGTATAAAAATACTTTTAAAAATCTAGAACTGAGGCAAATCATGGTGTTTTTCTGGAACTTCAAAGCTATGATTATTCTATGAGGGAAATCTATATTGGTCTCATAAAATTCATAGATATATACATATATAATAAATATGCCTTAATATACTGTATATATTATTTAAATTTTAATTTACAATTGTGTTTTTCAGACCTAAGTAAAATTCATCAATGGATTTTATTCTTTTAAAGATTTATGTTCTTTATTTACACCTATCTGTTTGTGCCTTTGTGAATTTATGTGTACCACAGGTATTCAGGTGTTTCTGGAGGCACTAAAAGACACTGGATCCCTTGAAACTGAGTTACAGTCGTTTGTGGGTGATGGTAACTGAAGCTAGGTCCTCTTCAATAGCAGTAAGCCCATTTGACAGTGAAGCCTTCTCTACAGCCTCAAGAAAATATATTCTTACTAAACAGAGGCTGAAATATAGTATTATTGATGCTATGGCCATAGAAGTAGCCGTGTGTGGATGTTTTTGTAGTCATAAACCACACCAGCCAGTAAAGCACTCCAACATAATGAGCAGCATAATGTCAGTGACTTAACATTTCTTTCCCCATGGGAGCCTGGTGTGCAATGGTTGCAAACAGCAGCCTCCTTGGTAGTGTATGCATCCTGTTGCCCATATGGATTGCTCTAAGGGACCTTGGAGACAATTTTCTCAGTTACTCAAGTTTCTGATCTCAATGATTTCCCCAATATAGGCTCCAGACAGGTATGCATGGTGCCTTTGGGATGACATTGGCCAGGTCATCATGCCCATTTGCACCAAGCTGCAGAATAAGGAACATGTGATTGAGCCAAGTTCAAGTTCCCTGGCCAGCAGAAGATCCACATCTCAAAGAAATGGGGCTTCACCAAATTTAATGCAGATGAATTTGAAGACATGGTTGCTGAGAAACGGCTCATTCCTGATGGCTGTGGGGTCAAATATATCCCTAATCGTGGTCCCCTGGACAAGGGGCGAGCCGTGCACTCCTGAGAGCTTCCACAGTGCTCTCCTGTACCCTACCAAGTCATGTTCAGTAATAAATCTCACATCCAGTCAGCTTTAAAAAAACATTATTTTCCCTCCTTTGGTACACTTTCTCAATTCTTCCTTCAAGTGTGCCTTTTGTGGAACTGCCTTTTGCCGCTGTTGTAGGAAGTAAGAGTTTTTGCCGTTTAGATACTTGTGTAATTCCACATGTTCTTTTTCCAGGGACTCATGCATGCTTTCATAGTTTTTAAAAACAGTGAAATTTCTACATGATAAATCATATATGTAAAAAATATGGTTGATCAATAAGCATAATTGTCCTGAGTATTTTTAATCAGATCTTTTCAGTTTCAAACAGTTTTCAAGTTTTATATACCTTAGACAGTGGTAATTCCCTGATTAAAAAAGGCAGTATTTGAAGTGTTTCTGAATAATTCATACTGAACATAATGCAGAGAACTGGAATTATTGTGGTATGCATATTAATTATTAATATGCAAATAAGGATCATAGGGCCATACTCCACTGACATATGTAAGTTGCTACCTTTTTCTAGTGTAGTATATTTTTGTGCAATTGTGTTATCATTCCTTTATATAACATTTTCCAGTTCATACAAATAAATATCTAAGCATATTAAGATCTTCACTTTTTAGCCAAAGCAATTAAGAATATGAAAAGAGGAAATTGCTAATATATAAAATTATATTTTGTGGTTCACCTGTTTCATCCCCAAAAACAGAAGCATGTACCTATTTAATGTCTTCTTTATGAGCTGGGAATTTTAAGCACTTTTCATAAAAGTGTATTTTTCTCATACTTGAGCATTTTCTATTTATATCCATTCATTTTTGCCCTAAGGCAATATTTAAAGAAACAAAACAGAAAAGTAAAGGTACAATAGAGATTGCTTGAATGGTGACTTCCATGCCAATGCCCCTTATCTCTGGTGTGTGATTTTCACAGATATCCAGGCATAAAGGGATTGAGATAAAGACAGAGGAGCTGTTATTAAAAGCAATGATGTCAAAATCCACCATTTGCAACTGGAAAAAGCACTCTGTGAAACAGAGAGAGAGGCGAAACTCAACATGAGCTGTGGTATTGGTACAATATCTGATGTTTTGCCAGTTGGCCCGGACAATAATCTCTATGGAAGGGAATGAGCTTGAGAGATGATGTGGCCAACTATCCAGGAAGCTTTCTATGACAATCACCAGGCTGATGTAAAGTGGTGGTAAGAACAAGGTTTGTAGAGCTTTGCTTTCAGATTACTTGTAAAATGCTGCCTTTTCTTTGCGCTAGTATCTGAGTTGCTCTATAATGACTTTACATTGGTTTTGAGTGCCATTCATTCTCTTTTCATTTCATAATAATTCGGCTGTCATATCTTGAAAAAAATCACTTTTAGAAATTTAGCATAAAAATCTGGTTAACATGGATTGTGAATGCAGACTATTTTCAATGAAAGAGAAGACAAAGCACAAACATAAGCAAATACCTTGTCTGGAATCGCAGATCAGAAAGAGGTTACCTGTCTGCTCCACCTGGACTAGAAAATAGAATTATAAGCCACAGTATGCTACCAAACAGCATACTCATGTTCACCTAGCATACCAATAATACAATTAGGAGATTAAGATTTTTATATTCTATGGATAAAGAATTTTCACACAATGAAGACTTTTTTATTTAGAGAGCAAATGAAAGGGCAACCCAAAAGCAACTTTCAAAAATTAAGGACTTTGAAGAAAACATTATTCTCCATCTTGCTTCAGTATTATTAGTCTTTTTTTTACCTGGTCCCTGAAGTGTAGTTTTCTGAGAGACCATTTTATATTTTCATTAGGCAGCTGTTGTGGTCAGATGAGCGTGTCACCCATAAGCTCTTGTACTTTATTAGGGGACCCTTAAAGCATTGTCCTAATTAATGTAATCAATAGAGATCAGGATTCAGATATGGGGGTGAAAACCTGGAAGAGCAGAGAACTGGTGGTAGTCACCAGTTGCTTCCTACCTGTCTCCATTCCTCCATCCAAAGGGCCTAGATCTACCTGGCTCATCACTTCCGGTCTCTCTACACAGTCCTCCAAATATCTATGTTTAACTAGCATCTAGTTCTGCCCTTTGACCCTCAGCAACCTTTATGTGTCAGAAGACAAAGAAAATATTGCACAACCATCCATTTTTGATGGAGCTGTTTGAGGAGGTCAAAGAGTTGTGGCTTTGCTAGAGTTACTATGTCATTAGAGGTGTGTTTTGATAAACATATCACTTACTGCAGAATTATCAATGAAGAGGGACAAAGAGAATAAAGGTCTCAAACATAAAGAGGGCCATTAAATGCTATTTAATGTGCATGCCACTGTTGTTAAAATGTTTAGGTTTATCCAGTAAGGAGAAACAAACCGCGACTCAGCGATCCCACGACGAGGGAGGGAAAAGGGGGTGAGAGGTAACCAACCCATGCAGAGCAGAGAGAGAGGGATAAGATATGAGACAGAGAGAGATACAGAGTAAGATGAGAGTAAGAGTGTAAGAGGGAAAGAGAGTAAGAGTAAGAGCAAGAGAGTAAGAGAGCGTAAACGGGCAGGGGTTAGTCCTTTAAAGGGATCCTTTGCACCTGGCTGGTTCTCACGGAACTCTGGGCTGGCCAGAGTGTTGCCTGAGTGCATCCTGCCAGGTAACAGGGCAGGCCAGAGTAATGCCTGAACCTTTCATTCCCACCTTTATTTATGTTTAAAAAGATATGGGGGTGTTAGACATGGCAGGTTCGGGATCAAGGACGTTGAGTTCTTAAGACTGCTTCCTACTGACCTGGGGGCGTCGATCATCTTTGGGGGAACCTGAGAAAGTTGGGGTGTTGCCACGCTGGTTGTTCTATTGTAGTCCAGGCTGTATGGGACTGTCTGGCGCCTCTGTAGATCTGGCAAGATGTTAGCAGAGTAGAGGACAAAGTTAGGTTTAAAATTTTCTTTCATAGGTCCTAGTAATTGAGGGGAAGATTGTAAGATGAGGGAGGGGGTTCCCGACGGGTCCCAAGATGAGGGAAGGGAGTTCCAGGACCAGGGAGAGGTTGAATAATATCGGAAGTGAACCTGACCTGTTGGGATGGGTCCAATTTGGCTTTCTGGAACTTACAAGAATCCTTTGAGTTTGTGAAAACATAAGTATTAGACATATCAGCAGCATATTTGTGTTAGAAGAGACTTCTCTGAAAGCATTAACATTTTTAAAACTGACAGATATTTTAGTACAATGAAAAGCACCTTAATTTTGACCTTATAGTTATGATTATATATTAGAACTTTATTGATTAATGTTAAGACTATGAAAAGTAGTATAATGAAAGAGAGAAACCTGGAACATATTTTTTAATGTCTCAACTTAATAGTCTTATATAGATAAACCTTAGAGTACTCGTTCCTGAAATCTGTTTTATGACAGAGCTTTGCCTTGTCTGCTATTTTAAGTTGGCAAAGCTACCAGCCGTCAAAAGCATCAGAGTTCTTGAGAAGGATAAGATTTTACCTGATATTTGAGAATGAGAGACTTAGTAGCTGACTGCATGGACAACCATCCCCAAGGTCCTCCACAGTTGTTGAAGTCAGAGGCTCAAAGGACACCTGCCTTTTGTTGATAGTGAGATCTGTGGATTGGGACTTTTTAGGAAGACTTTCCTACCATTGACCCGAGCAACATGGAGAAAGTCGATTCCAGTGTCCTCTTGTTCATGGCCTGAAGAGTCCTTTGAAGCAGTTGAGGTGAAGGGCAGGGTTGCTCAGTGGCCGGCAATGCCACTTTTGTGGGCAGTTTCTCCAGTGTCCACCAGTCTTCTTGGAGGAAATGGAGTGGTGCCAGCAGCTGGCCTGTCTCTGTTATAAAAAGCCTTTAATAAAACATTTAAATGCCATGTTCTCTAGATCTCTGAGCATTTTGAGGACTGTTTGTCTGTTTAGTATATCTTAGTAGATAGAATTTATCTTTAGTGACTTGCCTTAAGTGCATAGATGGCTAGACAATAGAAGTAATAGAAGCTTTACCTTTGTAACCAGCTTACAGGAAGGACTGGGTGTTATATTTTCTTAATCTGAAATAGACCTTTTTATAACTTTAAATGTTTATCATCATTTAAAAGATATAACAATTCAGAAATACTTGATATTTAGTATAGTTGAATTAAAGTTACCTTATTTTTTACACATACATATAGATACATTAAACAGGATTGGGTAAAAGTGTTTGACCCAAACTTGTAGTAAACAGATTTAAAGAGACAGTGATGATAAGGAAGATTTGTTGTAGATAGAACAGGGAACCTTGGAAAGGCACAGTATTCCATAAACAAGCCATGCGCAACAGGGCCAATGAAAGTTGAAATTAGAGACAAAAGTAAAAGCACAAAAGAGACAAAAAGTAAATGAATTGTATCTGTCGGCAGGCTTTGCTGGCAGAAGCTGTCTGGTCTGAGTGGGCGTGTCTACAGCTAGGTCACGTGGTAAACATGGAGGAGTCAGTAAACATGTTTCTAAGCTAGGCAGCATGGTAGGCCGCATTGTTTAGATCGCCAAGGTGGCGGCCTCTATAGGCAAATTTCCGTCTGTCAGCAGAAGTGGCCTTTTTTCTCCACAAGTGAGGCAGAAAGATGTGTTACCACCGTAGGTCTAAGAAACAAATGA